TGCTGCTTGACCTGCTGTGTTCATCCAGCCCTGCACCTTGTCGTCTCAGTTATATAACATATCCATATTTGCATTCAGTTCATGTTCTTTTATCTTGGGGAAAAATAACAGTTGTCACTGCTTTAGGAGCTGAAAACAATCATGAGCTAAGGAGCAAGATCATATCAGATGACCAGCAACAATGATAGACTAAAGATCTTTTGACAGGTTTTAGTTATAGATCTATTTATCAGTTTATCTTCTAACCAAATCTGGAGATTTTGTACTATATTGAACCTACATTAATTGATCAGTTCAGTAAGAGACTGAGAGCAGTGTTAAGGAACACAACACTATGACAGAACGATGACAGTCCTAGTCAAAATGGCAGATTACTCACATTGCCTTCATCATCCACAACCTGAGTTTGGCCAGAGTCACAGAGTTTCACTACTGCCCCGATAGGAACTTCAAACTCACGTCCAGTCTTCAGATCCAGCCAGACGTAATCCCCCTGGAGACAGACAGATGGCTCATGGTCAGCTTGTGTTACTGGAGGGGGGAAGATTTATCTGTAATTAAATCTCCATTATAAATTTTTATACCTTTTAGGTGAAGTGTGCAGGCTAGGTAGTTACATTATTAGAGGCCAAGAATGAGTTTTAATAATCCAGATTTTCTTTTAATCATTAGAACATAGAACAGGACAGGAACAGGCCCTTCAGCCCATAATGTTGTGCTGAACATGACACCAAATTAAGCTAATCTGTTCTGCCTGCCCTTGGACCATATCCCTCAATTTCATGCTTATTCATGTGCTTATGTAAAAGCCCCTGAAACACCCTCATCCTATCTGCCTCCACCACCACCCCTGGCAGTGCATTCCAAGGCACCTACCACTAAAAAAAAAGTCCTCCTCTCATCTTAAATATGCATGCTCCCCAGTATTAGATATTTCACCTGAGAAAAGGATTCTGATTGCCAACCCTATCTATGCATCTCAGTTTTATACACTTCTATCAGCTCCCCCCAGCCTCCACTGCTCTGGGGAAAACGACTCTAATTTTCCAGCCTCTCCTGATAGCTCATACCTTCTAATCCAGGCAGCATCCTGGTAAACCTCTTCTGCACCCTCTCCAAAGCTTCCATATCCTTCCTATAAAGGTGACAACCAGAATTGATTACAATACGTTAAGCGCAGCCTAACCAGAGTCTTATAAAGCTGCAGCAAGACATCCTGACTCTTCTATTCAATGCCCCGACCAATAAAAGGCAAGCATACCATACGCCACCTTTACCACCCTACCTAGTAGCGTGGCCACTTTCAGGCAGCTATGGACTTGAACCCCTGTTCAGGGTCCTCTATAACCATTTGTGGGATGCAAGTATCACTTGTGAGCCCAGCTTTTATGGCTGAAACCTAATTGCTGTCAACGTGGTGGTGAGGAGCTGTCTTTTTCAGAGAGACTTACAGCACAGAAAGAGGCCCTTCAGCCCGAGTCTGGTTAGTCAAAAACAATCACCTAACTATTCTATTCACATTTTCCAGCACTTGGGCCATAGCCTTGTATGCCTTACAGTTGCAAGTGTACATCAAAATACTTCTTAAAAACGTTAAGTACTTCTGCTTCTACCAACCTTAGTGAATTCCAGATTCCCACCACCTTCTGGGTGAAAGGTTTTCTTCACATCCCCTATAAAAACTTATTGCCCATTACCTTAAATCTATGTCCCCAGTCATGGGTCTCTTCATGGAGGAGTTTCTTCCTATCTATCCTGTGCCCCTCAAATTTTATACAACTCAATCACGTACCCCACTTCAGTCTCCTCAGCTCTAAGGAAAACAACCCCAATCTGTCTTTATAACAATCTCTCCAGCACAGGCAACATCCTGGTAAATCTTTGCACCTTCTCCAGTGCTACCACATCCCTCCTATAATGTGGATTCCAGAACTGCGCACACAGTACTCTAGCTGTGGCCTAACCAATGTTTTACACAATTCCAGCATCACCTCCCCGCTCTTCAACTCTATACCTTGGCTATTGAAGACAAGTATCCGATATGCCTTTTTAAATCACTTTAAGTAAAAATCCTGATACCCAAAGGGACTGGTGTACAGACACACCAAGGTCCCTCTGATCCTCAGGCATTCCCAGGGTCCAACTGTTCACGTATCCCCTTGCTTTGTTTGTTCTACCCAAGTGCATCACCTCACACTTATCCAGATTGAATTCCATTTGTCACTGACCAACTCATCTGACCAGCCTGTCTATATTCTCCTGTAATCTAAGGCAACCATCCTCACTATTTAACAGCCCATCAGTTTCTGTATCATCTTGAACCCCCTGCATTTCTTTATTCATTAATGGGATGACAGAGTCACTGGCCAGGCAGCATTTATTGCCTGGAGGGCAGCTAAGGGTCATCCACATTGCTGTGAGTCTGGAGTCACATTTAGTCTACACCAAGCAAGGATGTGAACCAGATGGGTTTTTCCTGACAATAGACACTGGATACATGGTCATCATTAAATTCTTAACTCCAGCTATTTATTGAATTCAAATCCCACCACCTGCTGAGGCAGGATTCGAACCCAGGTCCCCAGAGCATTATCTGGATCTCTGGGTTAACAGTCCAGTGACAATACCACTAGGCCATTGCCTGCCCTGGGGGTAGGTATATGCTGGACTGATAGCAAGGTCATTCTATAGCTTATGGTCGTGGTAATATCGCATCATGGCAGCTTGTGGAATTTAAATTAAAATTAAGTCTGGAATTGAAAATAACAGTGGCTATGAATCTGGTGGTGGGTAGGAAGATGAATACAAGGAAGTGGTAGAGGGAAGGCACAAGGCAAAGTAGGGAAAAATGTGAAGAGGGAGTGTGCAGGAGGGAGTGCACAGAGGAAGCGATCACCTGGTAACCACGAACGAACACACGCACACGCCTCGGGCATTATCTATGATAACCCTCAAGGAATTTCATGACCAGTAACCATTCCAATTGCAAAACACTCAGCAAAGGCAAATTCAGTAAAATAGATCGTCTCACGTGCAATTCTCTAGTTCAGGAGGAAAAAAAACCCATCAAGAGAAAACGGAGACAGGCAGTAGCAGGGAGAGGTGTACTGCAGCTTCTAAACCCAAACAGACTGGCAACAACTGCTACTGAAAAACAAAAAAACTTCAAATCCTGGTTGAGAGCACTTGACCCCCACCCATTCAGGCTGCTTCTATTGTTCCAACCTTTTAAAAAGAAAAACCTCAAGGCCTCAAAAGCTGCTCATTGGATTCAAACAGACAGCTGTGTACCTCAGTCTTAAATTCTCTCAAAAAAAGGACAAAATACACCCTTAAAAGGAATATTATCGTCACACACCACTGACGCTCAGTAGCAACAGCGTGTACAATCAACAAGATGCACTGCAGAAAGTCACCAAGGCTCCTTAGACAGCACCTTCCAAACACAACCATTTCTCTAGAGGAACAAAGGCAGCAGATACATGGGATCAGCACAACAATGGCAATACCCCTACCTTTGAGCCAGGAGGCCTGGGTTCAAGCGATACTTGATCCAGAGGTGTATAATAACATCTGAGCAGGTAGGAGTAGAAAGCATTGATCAGTGCTTACCGGGAGGAGAGTGTGCTGGTGTTTAAACACTTGATTGACGTTACGCAGAAGAGCCCATTTCCCTTCGTCCTTCTGATACAAGTCATCATCGACCCCTCTGTGTGGGTACATGTCCTGGCCGCAGAGCCTCGCTCACAAAAAAAAAAAAAATCGCAGATGCGGCAGCCCCCCAACAAACATCAATAGCAATGTCCTACTGCACTCCTGTCATCAACAACTGACTACAGCTAACATTATCATGGACTCCAGTGCCACTCAGCAGGGGTGGGGGGGGGAGAATGAAAGGGGAAGAGAGAATCTCAACACAGCAACGTCTTGACAGGGCCAGTGAGGAGACACAAACTAATCCCTCTCGAGCGTTAACAGGAGCAGAGCGGGACCTGACTGCACACCAGACCCCGTTGTGGGTTTAAGATTTCATGAGAGTATGCTGCCTTTAAAAGGGCAGTCAGATCTGGAACGACTCCAGCCAAGCTGCACAGAATAAGACTGGTGTTTCCTCACTACCATCACCCAGTCCGTCTCTTCGCGTGACACCCTCTCACATTGGTCTTGTTCTTTTAATTTCAGCCCAGATATCAGTCATCTGGCCGAAACAGCTTGGTAAATTATAAACCAGGCTCTGTCGAGCTACAACAGGTATTCATTAATCCACTTGACATGTGCAATACTGTAAGCACTCATGCATTAATGTGATTACAACCACCCTGGAAACCGTCTGGGAGGGGGAAGGGTGAGGGACAGGAGATCGTGAAGGTGGGGGGAGGGAGTCATCCATAGCTAATGACAGGGGTCGTGAATCATTTATAAAAGAGTCTTTGTGCCATACATCTGGTCTTCAGTTCGGATTAACTTGACAGACATCTTTCTCGTGGTGCTGTTCACATGACACCAAAAGGCCCATCCACTCTGGGATTGGCCAGAAGGTAGGCCTTTTGAGCAAATGGCAATGCTCTGAGCTTGCGGGGGTGGGGGCGCTGGGGCAAAGGGGGAGAATTGTGAACCAACTGTCTGGAAATGGTGGTCACAAATTCCCGGTCAGACATTAAAAACTTTATTTTGACGTGATGCAGCATAGGCACAACCTACTCTTCAAAACGCAGAAGTGGAAGTGGGTGCACAGCCTTTGGTCACAAGTTAGTCTTTAGACAGAGTTAGCAGTTGCAACGCCTCCACTAAACTGATCCAATCCCCACATTGGCATGGGGGACACCTTTTCCACAGGATATTTTCTTGTACAAGCCAAACAATGGGAGATAAATTGAGTCATTGATAGACAGCTCAACCAGGTCTATTCACCATATGCCCCTCATAAGACAGTGTTGAGTGTATGAAATCATATTTGCACCAAGTCCCCTTCACCCATTACTCCCATAGTGACCTACGTTCACATCCAGCACAAACTTCACAATTTTAAAAATTTGGTGTTCCCATGTTTGGAGCAGCACGGTGGCTCAGTGGTTAGCACTGCTGCCTCACAGCGCCAGGGACCCAGGGGTGACTGTGTGCGGAGTTGGCACATTATCCTTGTGTCTGCGTGGGTTTCCTCCCACAGTCAAAAGGTGTACAGGCTGGGTGGATTAGCCATTGGAAGTGTGGGATTACAGGGATTGGGTAGGCAGGTCAGATCCTCGGAGGTTTGGTGTAGACTATGGGCCAAATGGCCGGCTTCCAGACTGTAGAAATTCTAAGTGATTCTATGAAATCCCTCCACCTGCTGTTCGACTGTCAGTATTGCAATCTCCTCAGTCATACATCAATATTCCTTCAACTCTGCCACCTGTCATCTTACACTGTTCCAATGTTGAATGTCATGCACTCAAATTCCCTCCTGGGACCCTTCCCACACAAAAAAAGGGGACATGGGTTGGTTGGGGCGGA